GGATCGGGGTGAAAAGATAAAAATTTGAAGTAGAAAATATTTGTTAAAAATAAACTTAAATTTATTTTGTTATCGGATTATCGGTTCTGAATGGTTTGACGTTTTTTCTTAACGGGTTAACCAATAACCCGATAGTAAATAAAATAATTATATTTATATCATTTTGTATATAAAGTCCTTGACTTAGAGTTTGGTTTCCTACTTTTATATCATTGGTTATTCTACAATGTTAAAGTGTTTGCTTTTTAGCAAGATGTAACTTGTGAACTCATGTGCATGGTTCATTTGGTTTGTCACATGTTTCTAAGTGATTTTCAATGATTTTTTTTGTCAAATCTTAACGGTTTATAAACCCATAACCGAACCGATAGCGATCAATAATTGATAAGCCGATATCTTAATGGTTCTATAACAGTTTAGCATCTCTACAAACCGATAACCAATAAGCTAAACCAATAAATTTCAAAATCAAACTGAATCGACTGATACGCAACCCTAATCCCACCTGTTGTACGGGATACGAGGGTTGCTACTATTTAAGCAAAAATGGCAAGTTTGTAATTTGTGAAAGAGCTAGAGATTATTGAACCCAAGGCATGTACCCTAAAATGTGACCCTAAAGTTATTTACATGACTCGTCCATCTTCTGGGTTAGCCAAACATTATGAAGTTTGCATTGATTATTGCACTGCAGGAGGGTTGCAAACTATATGGATATGAATCTTTAGTTTGTACTAATATAAATGAATTGTTGAAGCGTGACTTGCACAAAAAGATATTAAAAATTATTAACCAAAAAGTAATCTATCAATATAAAATAGTGTCAATAATTCGTTTATTTTGGATTAGAGGGAGTAACCCACTCATATGTTATTAGTTTTATCGTTTCATGTAGAAAAATAGTCACCGAACACGAATAATGTGTGCTAAAAATAATGTTTTATATACCATATCAATAATAACATATTTAACTTAGGAAAACAGTCCCAAAACATGATTTATTTGTGTGCTACAAATAAAGTTTTACTATGTCAACATCAAAATATTTAATGCAGGAGAATGGTCACAAAAACATGATTTGCATAATTCAACGATAGGAAAAAGACTGAAAATAGGGCTAATTAGTGAAGAGATTAACAAAAAGTAGATGGTGACTCTTTCTTTTGATCACATCAAGTTAATTTGCGATAATTAATTACTTAATTATGACTACTATCACTATACCTTTGAAAAAAATTGATAAGTCATTTCATTTTTTTAAAAAAAATAACTTCGAATATATTCAATAGAATAACATGGCTAGTACAACTTTCACTATATTTGTTGGATCCATTATTGACTCTCTAGGGTCGTGTAAGTCCCCGTTAATCTGCACTAGAATCTAGTTAGTGATTAGTAATTTGCTCTAGATTGATTTAGACAAAGAATTACTACTACTTACATATGAAACATTAAATGTAAACATTAATTTTCTTTCTTGTAAGCAGACAAAAAATTGTAACTTACATATGGTTTAATTAATTGCATTTTCTTGCTGAGAAAAACATTTTTTAACTTAAAAGAAAAAGATACAATTAATTATGCACCATATATAGTGAGTACTAATATTTAACTTTAGATATGCCAAATATGAATCATCTTAGTTGGGTGGCAAGTTTTATTAGTAATGACGGATATATCCATTATTGTCCTTCAATTAGATACAATAATTCCACTAATTATGCTTACTACTCGATTCATATATACAGGGGGATCAAAATGAAAATAAACTTATAATACATGGACTAAAATTGTTATTTCCCCTAAAGAGATATATACGTGGAGAAGAAAATTGTTGCTAGCTAGATGACAAATATTTCAAAAACAATAAAATTAATTAAAGATGAAATTGGGGAAAAGTTAAGGAAGCGTAATTAACTAGTCAAGCTAATTACACTAACTAGCACATTTTTTTTTATTTATCAATTGGAGGCTACATAAAAACGTTTTAGTAACTATGTTTATTTAATCACTCGTTTGGCTATAAATAGGTGGAGGATAGACACTCAACCCAAACAAAAGAAAAGAAAATAAAACAAAGGTAAAAAGAATCCATAATATGGCTGTTCACAAACAAGTTAGTTTCCTTGCTTACCTACTACTTGTTGTTGGTAAGATTTCCCTTTCTCTAATTTTCTTCTCTTTAGTTTCTTTGTTGTGGCATAAACTACAAGTGTTAGTATGTTTTTTTTCATTTCACAGCTTTCTCCTTATTATATTTGTTTGTAGGATTATTGCTACTTGTAAGCGCGGTGGAACATGTTGATGCCAAGCCTTGTACTATGGAATGTGGTCATCTTGGGTTTGGGATATGCCCACGTTCACAAGGAAGTCCGCAGAATCCCATATGCACCAATTGTTGTTCAGGTTTTAAAGGTTGCAATTATTATAGTGTTAATGGGACTTTTATTTGTGAAGGACAATCTGACCCAAGAAAACCAAAACCTTGCCCCTTAAATTGTGATCCACATATTGCCTATTCAAAGTGTCCCCGTTCAGGAGGAAAGACGTTTATTTATCCCACTGGATGTACCACGTGTTGCACGGGATACAAAGGTTGCTACTATTTCGGTAAAGATGGCAAGTTTGTTTGTGAAGGAGAGAGTGATGAACCCAAGGCATGTACCATGGAATGTGACCCTAGAGTTGCATACATGATTTGTCCATCTTCTGGATTGGCCAAACTTAGCCAAGTTTGTGTTAATTGTTGCACTGCAGGGGACGGTTGCAAACTCTATGGATATGATGGATCTTTAATTTGTACTGGGGAGCCTCAGAGCTACATATCTACAGCATAAGGCATGATGCATCATCAATAATATGTGTTGTACTTTTTAATTTATAATGTATGAAATAAAAGGATGGCATGCTAATCACTATAATGTGGGCATCAAAGTTGTGTTATGTGTAACTACTTATTATTTGAATAAAAGAAAAAGATCATCCATAATTATATTGAGGACTTGGCTCCTCTCTATGGGTGATCTCCTTTGGTCTTATCCATAGTAAATGACATGCCTCTTTATAATATTTTAAGGATTCAGATCTATAAATTTATATACTTTTAAATAAACTACCTTTGGCTCTTGTCAAGGACCATCCTCTTGATGTCTACTTCAAGCTAATCTAGTAACAAATTATGCTTGCAGCTAGATTATATGTTTTAGCTAGCCTGGTTAGCTACCATTTTTACATATTAATATGATAAAAAAATATTCTCTAAAATATTAATAAAAGTTTTTATAGTTTAATTTTAAAAAATAAATTATAACAAATTAAAAGTAGACAGAAAAAAAATAGTATCTAAGATCGGAAGTTTGAAAGTTCAAGAGGAATATGAATCACTCAATGAGTCAATATCAGTGTCAAGAGGATTCTAGTGAATCCCCTTACCAAATAAATTATATTTTCTTAAAATAAAATATTTTTCTTCGTATCAAGTACACATAATAGTAATACTAATATATTTCGTAAAAGAATTTGAGAGGTCTTATTTTTGTTCGAAGGAACACATTAGATGGATCCATCTACCCCGTGAATGATGTGGATATTTCATGAAATATTTGAAGCAAGAAATATTCAAGTCCTGGAACCATTTCAATTGGAAATGAAAAAATAATTAATATATGATTAAAGAAAGAAGCATCCAAATTTCACTTGTTATGCTAAACTTGAGTTACAAGGCCAATTATGGATATTTGATGTGCCAACGGATCCATTAAAATGTGTCAATGAAGTACGATATGGTTAGACTAATTAACCATTCAATTTCAGATATTTTAAACAATAATTGGCTCTTATAGCTTAGTAAAAAAAAGAGAAAGAAAACTAAAATTGCTTGGTTATAAAAAAAATTATGTTAAAAGTTATTTCAAAGTGGATGAATTTATAAATTTTCACACACTCCGAACACAATTTTTAAGTTTATGATTAAGGCATGATCCGTTAAATTTTCATAATTTAGTTGTTTTCTCTTTTTTTAAAAAAAAATGATTTGGGACCAAGGCATTTTTATCGAAGAAGTATGATGATCCGTAAGAGAAATATCCTAAGACTATGTTCAATATTTTATGTAAATAAATATATGTTCAAATGTATTACACGTGATGTACAACATTGATATATACTATTTGAATAATGTTCATTGAAATTTGGTGATATCCTTTGATTAAAATAATAATAATAATAATATACAAACTTCCCATAACATTGTTGAAAGGTTCAAAGTCTTACTTAATTTCTGCATGTGTTGTTATGTTCTCGTTCTTATCCTTAAACTTCATTGAAGTTTCAGAATCCTACCAAGCACTTTGCTTAATTATCCGCAAGTACAAGGGTGGCTTAATTATTCGATTTTGTTTTATATATCCACGGGTACCTAAAGTTTTATTTATTTATTTTTTTAACTTCAGGATAATTCAAAATTATAGCATAATATTTGTCTTTCATATGAGTACTGAGTAAATTTCTCATGTGTAATATCCTACAAATTACACAAATCACACTAGTTTAGCTCTATATGATATGTTTGACAATGAAACTGTCGTGGGTTGATCTTAGATGGATATAAAGTTTTTTTTTTCGCAATATCAATATCAGTAATATTTATTTGTTATAGCAGGTTAATTAGTTATAATTTTTATCTTGTGATATAAATATCATAATTGTAAACTAATTTTCCACGTGGAACTTATATCATTTAACGAAAGTTCAATTTGGCAGAAAAAAATAGAGTCGTGTGAGCTCTATTGCACCACGTGAATCATTAAAAGCCGCCAATAAATAAATAATAAAAAAAAAAGTAAGCGTATATATTGTAATTGTACGTAACTAAGCATTTAGCAAGTAGAATAAAAAATAATACAAAAATTTATCAATTCATATAATATTTTAATTAGACAATAATGAATACATCTATCCTTTTTGTTCTATAAATAGGTAAGAGAAAGACGGACCCTTACCCAAAGAAAAAATAAGTTAATTACGATAAATTTATAAAGCATATCTACAATGGCTGTTTACAAAGTTAGTTTCCTTGCTCACCTACTTGTTCTTGGTAAGATTTTAATTTTTTTTCTCCTTGGTACAATCAAATTTCTATTATAACGGTGTCATTTTTCATGAATAATATTACTTGAAACTAATTGTCAGAGAGAAATATCGTTATAGATGATTATTGTTATAACGTAACGCTATATAACTTATATTTGTAATTGTAGGAATGTATCTACTAGTAAGCACGGTGGAACACGCTAATGCTTGTACTAAAGAATGTGGTAATCTTGGCTATGGGATATGCCCAGGTTCAGAAGGAAGTCCAGAAAATCCAATATGTACCAATTGTTGCTCTGGCTATAAGGGTTGCAACTATTATAACGCTAATGGAACTTTTATTTGTGAAGGAACGTCTGATCCAAAAAATCCTAACATTTGCCCCTCATATTGTGATCCACAAATTGCCTATTCAAAGTGTCCACGTTCAGAAGGAAAGACGATAATCTATCCCACAGGATGTACGACGTGTTGCACTGGTTACAAGGGTTGCTACTATTTTGGTCAAGATGGAGAGTTTGTGTGTGAAGGAGAGAGTATTGAACCTAAGGGTTGTACTAAAGAATGTGACCCTAGAGTTGCTTATATGACTTGTCCATCTTCTGGATTGGCAAAACTTAATCAAGTTTGTGTTAATTGTTGTAGTGCAGGAGAGGGTTGCAAACTCTATGATAATGATGGATCTTTACTTTGTACTGGGGAGCCTCAAAGTATTTCCACAGCATAAGGAAGTTGGTTATTTCTATTCAATGTTGTAGTTTATTAATGTATGAAATAAAAGAATGAATGGTGATATATGATGCTATTTTATTAAAGTTCAAATTAAATAATTAAAGGTTTCAGTGAATTCGATTCAATCTCAATTCATTCAAGTCGTAATCTACTCGAAAAAAATATTCAATTGACGCAATTTAATCTCCGTTTTGAGGCTCTCTTTATTTGCAATTTGCATTGATGTAATGCACCTTCGTATATTGAATGTATGGATTAGTATCTATTCTTATATCTTTTACTATTTATCTATCCATTTATAACTTCTTTTTTAAAGTTTTCTTGAGTTGAAATTCAAATTGTGATTATAAAACATTCAATATATTAAAATTATTGAGATTAAGATAGTCAAAATTAAGCGGGTCAAGACTCAACTCATTTAAACCCAAAGTAAACTTGAATAGGTTAGGAGCAACTCTATTTCCCTTTTGGGGAAAAAATAATTTTCAACCCACTTTAATTGACACCACTAGTGTATATATTATATAATTTAATAGAAGAAGAACTGTGTAAAATGTATACAGGTGGGAGAGTTGATACACTTGAATAATATTTTGGGCTGCTTCTCTTTTCTTTATTATTGGGCCTCAGAAACTAAATGGTAGCTCCTCCTTCAACTTTGAACTTTAATCTGAATCTTATATGATCCAAATAATTCCAAACTTAAGAGATATAAACTCCTCTAGATATTAGTATAAAATCGAATCGAATCAAATCGTAAATTGAGTTTAATGGAAAAAAATCAACTAGTGATTGGTTTGATTTGATTTGGTATTGACAAAAAAATGACTATATTTGGATTGATTTGGTTTTAACTAAAAACAACCAAACCCGAGACCAAACCGCCCCAAAATTATATATATAATTTTAAATTTTTATTTTATACATAGAAATATTTACTTGATATAATTTTTAAATATTTCTTATACATTTTCATAGTTTTTATCTTTTAATATATTATTTCAAGTTTGAAACTTAGAATTTTGAATGGTTCCATAAAGATTATAGTCAACAGATGTTGGTAATTATAATAAAATTTAAATCAAAATTAAATTAGTGTCAATATTGCCGCTAAAAATTATTTTTGTTACAGTGTCATTGTAATAATTATTAGATATTAACGATTAATTTTACTAAGCTATCAAATTAATTATTTAACTTTTCTTTACCATTAATATATATTTCGAAATTTCTCACACATGCCAATGTAAAAACTGTCCTCTCTAATCACAAAATATAATCACATGGTTAAAGTTTCCAATAGTTGTAGTAATTTAGTTAGTTAGACATAAGGTCCTAATTAACTACTTCTACTTGGGATATTATTAGTATATATCTCCAGTTGACAAAAAAAATTATTGATAATTCAAATGGCTACAAAGAGCACTGGGAAAAGCTAAGATGCTAAAAATGTTTAGTTTAAATAATTAAAGTGATTAGCCATTTGCTTTTATAGAGGAAATAAGTGCTTTAAAATACTTGAAGAAGTTATTTGTCAGAAGCTGAAAAAAATAGTTTTTTTGCCAATTGCCCAAAAGCATTTTTGGAATATTTATCAAGCACGAATTACTGCAGAATATTAATGTGTGTCTTATGTTTTTATAAATTGATCAGTCAAATACAAATTACAAAGATTCAATAACAAATAGATCGATCTAACTCTCTTATTATTGTATTTGACTCTACCTCACCAAATTTACACTAGCAAGTACAAAAAAAAAAAAGTAAATCCTACCAATTGAGGAGACTCTATATTGATGTTAATTAATTAGGTATAATAATGAGATCTTTAATTTGTATCGGAGATCCTAAAAATTATTTGTAGTATGAAATAAATAATAATAATAATAATAATATGAAATAAAACCATGACGACATATTCATTATTGTCATGTTAGTCTCTGTAATCATGTGGGCTTTGGAACTTTGTCCCCCACGATAATAAAACACTACTTTACTTAACTACTGGACTTTAAAGTTTAAAACATTCTGTAAGTTGGTTCGTGATTATCTTATCTAAATAATCTCTTTAAAATGTAAAAAAAAATTAAATTTTTTAATGAAATAGAAAAAAGACATTTCATAAGTGATATTTCATAAAGATCGTCTCCTCCTAGCTCACCTTTCAACACGCCTCATTTCCACCTTACCCCTCTACCTTCGCCTCTTATCATATTTTCTTAATATTCTCTCCAACTCATTTTATATGATTAAAGTAATTTGACACAGAGTTAAGAAAGAAAAGATTTTTAAAATTTATAGTCTGAAATAAGTGATAAATATTTGTGCGACTATAAATCACTCTGATCCTTAAAGGGTGTGTTTGGTATGAAGGAAAACAATTTTTGGAAAATGTTTTCAATTTTCTCATGTTTCGTTGGCACAAAAGTTTTGAAAAATATTTCCCAGATCAACTCATTTTCCTCAAATTTAAGGAAAATGACTTCCCTTCAAAAAGTTAAGGAAAACATTTTCCAAAACCCTCATCCAACTTCAAATTATATATTTTTTTGGAAAATATCAATTTCTAAAAAATATTTTCAATTTCAAAATTTTATATCTTCACTCCGTCCTCTCCCCTACCCCGATCACCCCTCCACCCCTCTTCAAAAAAAAAAAATTGTTTTTAAAAAAATATTTCTAATTTTAATTTTTTATTTTTTTACCCCGATCCCAAACCCCCCCCCACCCCCAAATAAAATAGATTTTGTTTTTAAAAAATATTTTCAACATTAAAAGTTCATTTCTTCACCCCTGTCCTCGACCCCACCCATTTACCCCCTACCACCCCCCATCCCCTACAAAAAAAAATTAAGTTTGTTTTTGAAAAATATTTTCAACTTCAAATTTTTATTTTTTCACCCCTACCTCGACCCCCGTCCCTCAACACCCCACCCCAGCTCCCAAAATAAATTTTAATTTTGTTTTGAAAAAACATTTTCAACCTACCCTTTCCCCTCCCCCCCCCCCCCCCCAGCCCCCCAGCCCAAAAAGTACTTTTTTTTAAAAAAATATTTTCAATTTCAAAAAATTGTTTTTTGTTTTAGTAAAAATAAAAGATATTTCTTTAAAATATTTTTCATTCATAAATCAAACACTAAAAATATTTTCTACTCACCAATCAAACATGAGAAAATAAGTCATAAATCTACCCCCTAAGAGTAAATGGACATTTTCAAATCAAATGGTTACTTAATAGAGAAATGTAGCATTCTTTTTTAAACTAACTAAAAAAAATGTAAGTCATATAAATTGGGACTGAAAAAATATTGTATATAAATACTTTTAAAATAATATTTTCACCATAAATACCAAACATAAGTTTTGAATGTTAACATAGGCCCTTAGGTAAGTCTTTGTTCTTACAATTAGGGATGACAATTTCAGTCCATATAAATGAAATGAAACTATTTTTGCTCATATTAAATTAAATGGATCACTCATATTTTTTTAAAATGAATAAATATGATCTTTAACCTATTTAAGCTCGTATAAATACAAATACAAACATTAAAGAGAGTTAAGGAAGTTCGTCTTAAAAAAAACATTTTGTTGGTACATATATCAAAATAAATCCTTCCCAAAAGTACAAACCAAAATGGATACTGTGGCAAATAAACATTAACTGATTTCGAAAACAACAAATACAATAGATATGATATAGCTCTACAATTGTTTTCCTAATTGCGCTCCATAATTATAGTTTTGTTTGTTATGGAGGTTGCGGTTGTATACTTCTATTTGTTTGAATATTTTGCTTGCGAATATATAAATTGCGTAAGTATATACAAATTTTGTATAATTTTTTAGAACTTCGTCTATATATTTCGCTTGTCAATAGAGCTGTCAATATGAGCTAGCCCACCCCATCCGACTAACTCATACAGGCTTTGACATTTTACGGGTCAGGCCGGGCTAGCGCATTTTTTGCGTGGGCCAGAAAATGACCGACCCAACCCACAAGTATGTGGGCTACAGGCTTGACGGGCCAGCCCACTTTTTTAAAAAAATTATATATTTTTTTATAATTATTAAATTAAATTTTAAATTATAATTTAAAATATTATCATAAATATCGACAAAACAATATTACATGATGTCAATGTTAGTACTTGTTAATCAAATCAAAAATAAAATTATTTTTATAATATTTATTAGGGATAATTTCAGAGACCTCCATGTTTCGCTCTATAACACTCACCTCCCCATTGATTTACGATATTACGTCTATCTCCCTTATTTTCATTTACTTATAATCATTCTTTAAACCTATTTAAAATAAATATAAATTAATATAGATTTGACAATTTTACTCTTTTTTATATAAATTTCTTCTTATTAATAAATATTATATAAAAAATAACTCATTTAACAAATACTTTAGAAATAAATTAACACAAATATTAACTCTTTATCTCTATTTCACCTTTACCAATTAACGTAAAAAAATTCCTCACAATAACGCATCATTTTCCGGCAACAATTTCTTCAAATAGAAGACAAAATTGAACTTTCCAAGAAAGAAATTCGATAAGAACAATAAGATTTTGTTCTAGTTAAACATTTACACAAGCGAAGAAGAAACATGATCCAAATAATAAAGATAAATCATTGAAAATTAGATCTAAATATTCATATATAAGGGTAAATTTGTCAAATCTAAATTAATTTATATTTTTTTTAAATAGGTTTAAAGAATGGTTACAAGAAAATGAAAATAAGGGAGGTAGACGTAATATCGTAAAGCACATGGAAGGTGAGTGTTATAGAGCGAAGCCTGGAGGGAAGTCTCTGAAATTATCTCTATTTATTAAGTTTTTTTCAAGTAAAAGTATAAATATATAAAATAAAAATATTAACCTAATTATTTTGAATTTGGACTCTCTTAAATTTTAATATTATATTATATATTTTAATTATTTGGCCCACGGGCCGATCTACCTATATTTCTTAAGCCCATCAAATCACCAGGCTTATTCAGGCCGGGCTAAAATGCCCTTTTCTTAAATGGACTTCAAAAATCTTAGCTCAATCCTATTAAATCCCGAGTTAGGCCAGGTCGGCCCAACGGGCCTAGCCCATATTGACGGCTCTATTTGTCAATATACAAATATGGTAACTTATTAGGAAATTTTCACAAATCGTATACAAATAATTAGGGTACGCATATACAAAATTTTGAATTTGTACCATAAGAAACCAAATTATACAAATTCTTGATTTATACTAATCAAACAAATTATATAAATGAAACGAATAGAAAAATTGAAGGACACTATAGCTATGAATTAGATTTTCCCTAAACAATAACTATAATATCTAATATGATTTAAATTTTGCTATTCTGCGCAATTTTCTGATTTTTCCAATATTGAGTAATCCCACGTGGAAGTGGCTCCTCTCTAGTACATAATCTCTCCCATTTCTTCGTTATCCCTTTAATATTTTGACATGTGTCATCCAAATAATCTAATGGCTCATATTTGTTTGGGCTATTAAAATTTTTTACCATAGTTAATATTTCTCACTTACTTTATATGCTTAGAATCATGTGGGATTAATATTAGGTCTTGAAAAATAATTTGGAAAATAAATATTTATGCTAAGGATAAAACATGAAAAAAATAATTATTTTTTCTTGATACGTCAAAAAATAATAAGTAAAAATAAAAATTTATTTAGATATAAAAATGACAAATAAAATTGAAAAAAAAACTACAAATAATTATATATATATGAAAATTGATTAGTCAAATATAAACAACCGCTCAATAACTAATAAATGAGACTCTCTTTTTGTTCTATTTGATCCTACCTTGCCAAACTTACACTAGCAAGTACAAATGAAGAGATTTGACAATTTTTTGTTTTATTTGATCACCTCTTTGCTATAAATAGGTGAAGGAGGACAGACACTCCTCACCCCCAAAATAAAAAGAAAACAAAGAGTACTAATTAATTATCCATAATGGCTCTTCACAAAGATGTTAGTTTCCTTGCTTCCTTGCTTGTTCTTGGTAAGTTAATTACTTTTCTCTTTAAATTCTTCGTTGAAACATACACACTTATTTAGTAGTGCTATATATATGTTTTTTCTTAATATATATATCTTATATTTGTTGTAGGATTAATGTTTCTCCATGTAAGCGCGGAGATAGACCAAGGTCGCGATATCATAAATCCTAAGCCTTGTACCAGAGAATGTGGTAATTTTAGCTATGCGATATGTCCACGTTCTGAAGGAAGTCCAAGAACCCCCATATGTACCACATGTTGTGCAGGCTACAAAGGTTGCAAATATTACAACGCTAATGGAACTTTCATTTGTGAAGGACAATCTGACCCAAGAAAGCCAAACGAACATTGTCCCAAGGAATGTGATCGTAAGATTGCTTATTCAAAATGTCCCCATTCAGAAGGACCTACTAAAATTATACCCACTAAATGCACCACGTGTTGCACGGGATACAAGGGTTGCTACTATTACGGTAAAGACAACAAGTTTGTGTGTGAAGGACAGAGTAATGAACCCAAGGTTTGTACTCAACAATGTGATCCTAAAGTTGCCTACATGACTTGTCCACCTGAATCGACAAAACTTACTCGAGTTTGTGTCAATTGTTGTACTGCAAAACCAGGGTGCAAACTCTATGGTCATGATGGATCTTTAATTTGTATCGGAGGTGTTAAACCTCATTAATAGTCCTTATATGTATGAAATAAAAGCATGATTATATACTTATTATTGTCATGCTAAACATTGTAATGTGGGCAATGGAGCACTTGCGCAATAAATTAATAAAATATTTTACTTTGAACTCTAGTTTTTTTTTTCCTCAAAGTCAATTTGTTTGATTTACTTTAAATCCTTTTTTTAGTTTATTTTAAAAAAATAATCATTTCTTTTAGTAATTTCTTATTTTTAATTTTACACATGACATGTTATAAGATTATGAGATTAAAAAAATGGATTTTTAAATCTACAAGTCATACCGAATTAATAAATTTTGGGTTTCTTTTAATTTTCGTGTTTTCGGATTATTTCGATAAAGTATTCATCTAAATATATAATTAACGTGTGCTTCAAATATTCTTTGGTCCTATCAAAATACAACTATGTAAGGTATTTATTAAAAAAAATAACACAAATATATTAAAATGAGTGATGACACTAAAATATTCAACAAAAAGACAATAATAATAATAATAGTAATAACAACAATAAATCACATAAAACAAATATTGTAAATTAATAAGTCATAACATAATTTAAAAATACTAAATAAGTCTATTAAGTAATAGCTCATGACTTTCTTTTGGTAATACTAATTACATGACTAAACATGGAAGAAAAATAAAATTAGGATATTCATATTTTAATTGTCTAAATGTAAAACTAAATAACAAAAATTCAAACATTATTGTCGTTCTCGATGTTCAATTAATTTTTTTTTGTTAAATCGATATTGATTTAATTTGTAAGAGTTGCTCATATTTATAGACAATTATCTTTATAGTTAATCATTCAAAATTCTAAGTCTTTAACTTCACATAATGTGTAAAAGGACAAAAATTATGAAAAAATTAAAGTGTAAGAAACATTACACTTTATATCAAATTCAAAGTAAAGTATATATGAAATATATTTTAAAATTATATATTTAATATCAGATTGAATTGACTTAGATAAAATCAAATCAATCCAAATATAATTTTTTTCTTAAAAAATCAATGCCAAATCTAATCAAACCAAATTACAAATCAAATTTCTCTTCCAATATATTTAACTCAATTTACAATTCTGTTCAATTTTTCGCTGATTATATACACCGTAATAATCATATCTACCAATTTGCTTATTATTATTATACTCAAGTGTAAGGGCGGCTTAATTTTAATAACCTGTCAATTAATTATATTGTAATTATTTTAACCATTAATGTGTCGAACATATAAGCAATAATCAAAAGCCAAAAGTTATAATAATTTAGCTAGACCTGGTAATTTAAGCACTTCTAAGAGTCCACGGTTATTCTTCGCATAGTCATTTAATCGATAGTTGTTATATTAATTTATTTAACAAAAAGTATACACGACTTTTTAGATAAAAATTACTAATTAAGTGAGAATCTGAAAAATTGATTCAACACTTCAACTTTATATATAACTAGAGAAATTGTCGGCTGCGATATTTATTAAAAAATTTATATTCATGTTAGTGTCAGATATATAAACAATATTAATATTCTCTTCATATAGGATATGATATATTTTTTTTATCTTTCTAAAAATATTAAATTGATTTTTTTTACATCTTTTTAGTGCAGGCTATATATATATATATATATATTAGGATGAATTATTTATCACGGTGAAGTAAATGAAATAGAGATCATATATTAAAATAACAATATATCGTATAAGTATTTTTAAAATCCTCTATAAAAATTTTGCTTTCGTAGTTTAAAGTTCTTCATTATGTCTTTATTATTATTTTTTTGATTTTGTAAACATTGAGTAAAATATTAATAAAAATTGTAAAAAAAAACATGAAAAAGTTATAACAATATTTAAGAATAGAAGTTACAAGTAAAATGAAGAGACGTGAATTATGAATTTTATTAGACATTAATTGCATTAATAATTATGTATTAATTTTATTTATAAAAATAAATAAATAAATGTGAAATAAGTGATAGAACTACAATAATGAACAAAAAAAATGATTGATGAATGATTAAAAAATATGAATATATTTCAAACAAAAAAGAATAATAACTTAAACAGATTGTTACATAAAAAAAAGGCATCATAGAATTTTAATTATTTTCTTGCAAGCATAATAAAAATGTTCATTATCAGTATAATTTATTTATTTTTAAATGAGATAGTTGTTAAATTGTGCTTCATAACAGAGAAATAGATTAGTACATGTAGTTAACTTACTTGTACAAACTAAAGTTTAAAAAATCTAGCAAAAGTAGCTAGCTACCTTACCAATAAAAGTCAAAAAAACCCAAAAAATATTCTAGCAAAAAATAATTTCTAATTATGCTTCAAAAATTATTTTCTTTTATATCTTCCTTAATAAGTAAATTCGTCATCATATTTTGAACTCCAAATGTCGACCTCTTTATTATATGCTACCTATTGGAATTACGTAAGTCCATTAAGTAGTTAGGCAAGTTATAGTTAGTTGTAACTAACTTCATGCACCAAAAGTGTGATCAAATAGAATGACATGATTCTTATAAATAGGAGTCATTATTGTATACTTCATATATGAAAATCAAATCTTCTTCTTCTTCTTCTACATGTTTCTTACTGCATTTCTTTAGAGTTGCAGAAATCTGCAACAATGGAGTATTAACTCCACGATTATACGAAACTATTATGGTATCAGAGCAGGCGTAATTAGGACTAGTTTGAGTTCGAAATCTTCTTTCCGCGAAGAAATTCTTTGAAGATCAGATTATAGCCATGGCAGAACTTACTGTAGCAACCCTTGGACACAATCATCCACTCTATCTGCAGCCTTCAGACGTGCCTGGTGTTGCATTGATCACAACAAAACTTACAGGACCTGAGAATTATGGTCTTTGAGCAGATCGATGAGATTGGCACTGTTGGTGAAGAACAAGATAGGCTTCATAGATGGAACCTGTTTGAAGAGTATGTACAAGGATGAATTAGCAGTTCAATGGGAAAGATGCAATGCAGTGGTTCTTTCATGGATTAGCAGCACAGTAGCAAACAATTTGTTAACAACAATAGTATATGCATCAAATGCAAAACGAGTTTGGGAAGATTTCAAGGAGAGGTTTAATAAATCTAATCTTACTAGGATCTATCAACTCTGGACAAAAGTAGCCACATTAAAGCAAGGTACGGATTCTGTAACAGAGTATTACTCTAAATTGAGGGATTTATGGGATCAGTATGATGTATTGGTGCCCTCACCATCATGTAAATGTGATGATGCTAAGCCTTACATTGAGCATTTACATCAACAAAGGCTGATAATGTTCTTGATGGGATTAAATGAGACTTTCAGTCATGTGAGGAGATCAATCCTATATAATCAGAAGTTGATGCTTCTTTAGAGAATAATCTGTTGGAGCCACAACATAGTGAAATCACAGGTGATAGTAATCTTACACCTGCTAGAAGAACTGGTAGACATTCTAGGCCTCCTCTTTGGCATAAAGATTACATAATTTCAACTAAGTCTAATATGACTAGTTTGTATCCTATTGCTAATAATTTGTCATATGAACTCTTGACACCATCTTATCAAAATTTTATCAAAGGGTTCTCAGTTATAGTAGAACCCACCAGCTTTAAGGAAGCCTCCAAACACCAACAATAGGTGGATGCAATGCAGCCTGAAGTAGCTGCTTTAGAGCAAAACAATACCTGGACAATAGTAAATTTGTCATCTGGTAAACACCCTATTGGTTCAAAATGGGTTTATAAAGTTAAACTTAAGGCCAATGGTGAGGTGGAAAGGTACAAGGCTAGGTTGGTTGCCAAAGGCTATAATCAACAAGAAGGGTTGGACTATCATGAAACTTTTTCTCCAGTAGCTAAGATGGTCACAGTGAGAACTGTGATTAGTGTTGCAGCATCCCATGGTTGGCCTCTTTTCCAAATGGATGTACATAATGCTTTCCTTCAAGGTGATCTCAATGAAGAAGTATATATGGACTTGCCTCAAGGATTTCAGAGGCAGGGGGAGAACAAAGTCTGCAAATTGTTGAAATCTTTTTATGGCTTGAAACAAGCTTCTAGGCAATGGAACCTTAAGCTAACTGAGGCTCTAGTTAATGCTGGATATTCTCAAAGTTCTTATGATCATTCTCTTTTCACAAAGATAGTTGGTGATGATATTGCAGCAATATTGATCTATGTAGATGATCTTCTTATAACTGGAAATAGCAGTGTTCTAATTGAGGATCTAAAGGCTACATTGCATAGCAACTTCAAAATGAAGGATCTTGGTGATCTAAAATATTTTCTTGGTATTGAAGTACTAAGATCAAAAAATGGTATTGTTCTTAGCCAAAGAAAGTATGCACTAGAGTTGATTTCAGACTGTGGTCTTGGAGGTTCAAAACCAGCAAGCACACCTTTAGAATCAGGTGTCAAATTAACTACTGTTGAATATGATGAAGCCACTGCAAAGACAGATGATCCTTTATATGCAAATGTGACTGCATATCAGAGATTAATTGGAAGGTTATTGTACTTAACAACTACTAGGCCTGATATATGTTTTGTTGTACAAGTTTTATCACAATTCATGCAAAAGCCTAAGATGTCTCACTGGGAATCTGCATTGAGATTGGTTAGATATATTAAAGGATGTCCAGGACAAGGAATACTGCTTAGCAGTAAAGACAACAATGAATTGGAGGCATTTTGTGACTCAGACTGGGCATCATGTCCAAACACAAGAAGGTCAGTAACAGGGTATGTAATCAAGCTAGGGAATTCACTCATTTCTTAGAAATCCAAGAAGCAACATACAGTCAGCAGAAGCTGAGTATAGAAGCATGGCAGCTGCAGTATCAGAAATATCTTGGTTACTTGGAGTATTGAAAGAACTCAATGTGAATGTGATAGTTCCTATGAAGTTGCACTGTGATAGTAAGGCTGCAATTCAAATTGGAGCTAATCCTATTTTTCATGAAAGAACCAAGCACATTGAGATTGATTGTCATTTTGTGAGGGAGAAAATCAAAAGTGGTATGATACAAACAGAATATATCAACACTAAGGAGCAATTGGCAGACCTTTTAACCAAAGGACTGGGAGTTTCTCAACATCTTGAACTGATCAACAAACTTGGAGTCTTCAATGTCTATAGAGATTCCAGTTTGAGGGGGAGTATTGGAATTACATAAGTCCATTAAGTAGTTAGGCAAGTTATAGTTAGTTGTAACTAACTTCATGCACCAAAAGTGTGATCAAATAGAATGACATGATTCTTATAAATAGGAGTCATTATTGTATACTTCATATATGAAAATCAAATCTTCTTCTTCTTCTTCTACATGTTTCTTACTGCATTTCTTTAGAGTTGCAGAAATCTGCAACAATGGAGTATTAACTCCACGATTATACAAAACTATTACTACCAATTGAGTAAAACAAACATAATTATGAATAAATAAAATATTACACCAGTTGAAAGTGATTATACCAAAAGAAAGAAAGAAATCTACTCTATGTAATATATTTGTACATGATTTTTTCAAGATATAGTATTAACAATAAATAATAATCTCTTAAAATCTCACACATATTGTAATCAAACCATATTATATTCAACAAATTAACTGTTAAAGAGAACAATCACATACTAACAACACGTTGTTTATTATTACAAGTTTTTTTGAATCATACTTCCTTTGGAGAATAATAATACATACATAAATAAAATATTAATAAAGCATATCCAAATATATATAAAAATAAAAAGAGAATCGAGAATGAAATATTTCATTTCCAAGTCTTTCTTTTCATTTTTTATAATTTACCTATCTAAATTCATGTTTAATTTCATGAAAATTCACATCCACATTCAAGAATATATTTTCTCTTCTTTATCATATTAATTTGTGAATTAACTTACATTTAATGAAAAAAAAGTATATGACAAAGAAGGAAAGGATAACCTTGAAGTGAATCTTCATAAAACTAAATATGAGTTTATATAGACAAAATACAGAAATATCATAAGACATCATAAACTTATAATTAATTTTGGAGGTTATAGGCATGAAAATTATGAGTCTTAAATATTATTAAAAACAAAAATTAAAGAGGAGTATATAAGTCATGGGTAATTACTCCTCCTAAATAAATTAAATAATAAAGAGAAAAACACTCAAAATATTAAAATATATTATCAAGTAAAAAAGAATGTGAAGAATCTTTGATATATATAGATGTTACTTCATTATTAAAATATTTATTTTTAATGAATTGAGTAGTTTGATTTTATAATATAATAATTATTTTTAAAAAAAAGTCAAAATTTGAGAAAAAAAAATTACAAATAAAGATTATATAGAGGTGTCACATCACCTACTTTATATTTTTCCTCCATATATAGATAGATAGATTAGATTGTTCGATTGACCAAAGTTATTGATAATTCAATGGCGGCTACAAAGAGCATTGACTAAACTAAGTTTTATATCACAACGTCTTAATCTATGTTTTATAATTGATATTTTTAGATTGAGTGTCCTTTTACTTTGCTAAAAACTTCAAAAATTCTATGTTATTTATATCAGTAGGCCTAAGGGTATTTGGCCTTCCCTTGGGTAAGCCGCCTATCAAGAGGTAATTTTTGGAGTTAATTTAAGCTTTGAATTATTCTGTTTCATTGTTATTTGGTGATGAACTCTTAATTCTTATATTATATTTAATTTTTTCTGTCAATTGAATAACCGCCAATCAATTATACTCAATGCAAGGGAAGCTTAATTATTTTTAAAAAAATTCTGATATCTGTATTAATCTATTATAACACGTTAGTAATCAAATAATAATATAAAAAAAATCATTAAAAATTGCACTATAGGTATTAATCTATTATTATAACATGTTAGTAATCAATTAATCATGCATAAATTTTTTATTATTAATATTAATAATATATAGAAAGTAGATGCAATATAATAATCACATGCTAAAGTGCGTTCCAAATAATTGTAATAAGTTAGTTAGACCTGGTAACCACTTTTATCTTGGATTTAGCTTGTTTAGATGGGGCTCATTTCAAGTGATTTTGAATAGTTTAATAGTGTATAAGTAAGTTACAAGAAAATACTTATTAACATTAATTAGTTTTAAGTTAAATGAAAAAAATGAATCAAAAGTCATAAGTTAAAAATATAATTAATCAAAACTGAAAAATCAATCCAAACAGGCTGCTAAAACTGATAATTCAAACGGCTACAAAGAGTACTGGGAAAAGCTAGGCTGCTAACACTGTTTTAAAATTTAGTCAATTGATTTTGTTTTATTTTCATCACTCATTTGCTATAAATAGATGGAAGAGGACAGACACTCCTCACCCCAAAATAAATAAAGAAAACAAAGTAAGTAGTAATTAATGGCTCTTCACAAAGATGTTACTTTCCTTGCTTCCTTGCTTGTTCTTGGTAAATTAATTACTTTTCTCTTTATGTTCTTAATTCGTTGATACATACACAAGAATCGCAATTATATACTATGTTTTAATCTTAATATATCTTATATTTGTTGTAGGATTAATGTTTCTCCATGTAAGCGCAGAGATAGACCAAGGTCGCGATATCATAAATCCCAAGCCTTGTACCAGAGAATGTGGTAATTTTAGCTATGCAATATGTCCACGTTCAGAAGGAAGTCCAAAAAGCCCCATATGTACCACATGTTGTGCAGGCTACAAAGGTTGCAAATATTACAACGCTAATGGAACTTTCATTTGTGAAGGACAATCTGACCCAAGAAAGCCAAACGAACATTGTCCCAAGGAATGTAATCGTAAGATTGCTTATTCAAAATGTCCCCATTCAGAAGGACCTACTAAAATTATACCCACTAAATGCACCACGTGTTGCACGGGATACAAGGGTTGCTACTATTACGGTAAAGACAACAAGTTTGTGTGTGAAGGACAGAGTAATGAACCCAAGGTTTGTACTCAACAATGTGATCCTAAAGTTGCCTACATGACTTGTCCACCTGAATCGACAAAACTTACTCGAGTTTGTGTCAATTGTTGTACTGCAAAACCAGGGTGCAAACTCTATGGTCACGATGGATCTTTAATTTGTATCGGAGGTGTTAAACCTCATTAACATTTACGAAATAAAAGTATGACAATACAAATATTATTGTCATGCTAATCAATGTAATGTGGGCATTGGAGCTTTTTCCACCGCTTGCGCAATAAATTAATAAAATGTTTTACTTCCAATTTTAGTATTATTTTTCCTTTCTTATAATTTGTTTGATTTATTTTTTTTCTCTAGTTTGTTTAAAAAGAAATACTAACTTTTTTTATTTTAGTAATTTTTTAATTTTAACTTTTCATCTGAATTTAAATTTTTTTGATATTTTCATAAACTTCGAATCAAATTAATTAAAATATGTCAATAAATTGAAAGAAACGAAATATATTAGTCATCTAGTTTACTTATAATTGCATTGCTTTAAATTTTTTTATTTATTTTTTTTTTGGGGGGGGAGGGGGGGGGGAAGAAAAATAATATTAATACTAGTATCAAACATTAGTTTTTATCGTATAAAGTTTCTAGATAGAGCTAATTGCATTTCCTGCAATAATGGCAGTAATTTAGCTCTAATGTTATTAGTATCAAAGAAATCACCTATATATCCTAAATTCTAGCATCTATTATTTTTCTATTTAATTTTATTTGTCCAACTTTTTATTTTTAAAAAAAAATCATTTTTATGTGCCACTTTATCATATCATAAACATTTAACATTAAGTTTTTATTTTTCAAATTTATTTTAAAAAAACTTTTTTACTATACATCAAATAATACGGAGTGTGTATCAATTATTTTCTTTTAGTCGATGTGTCACATGCAAATATAACAAGTAAATTTATTACTGCACTTTGAAAGTCAAAAGCTTTACTTCTAAACTGTTGTATTATCTTAATATACTTAATTACATTACTTTAAAACCTAATATATTACTTCTAAAAACTGTTGTATTTTCCACATTAGAATAATTGTTGTGGACTAAAAAAAGTTGCTCAAAATATTGTCAAAATTTTCAGTTATTATTATTACATCGAAAATACCAAATAAAAATTCACAAGTAATACATTACTCCTAGATTTCCAAATAATTAAAATGAATTGTTATTTATTTTTGCACAATCAATTTCTATTTATCATAACAAGTTGGTTGCATTTTTTATGAAGATAAACTACCTAGCTAATCCCTTTCATCATTAAAATGTATAGAACTTGTACGTGAAGATGTAATAGTTTAGTTAGACTTGATAACTTATTAAATAATATATATATCTCCAGTTGACGAAAAAAAAATACTTACTGATAATTCAAATGGCTACAAAGAGCATTGGGAAAAGCTAAGCTTTGTACTCATGTTTGACTAATTAAGCTTCTAGCGATTAAACGGCTTATTTTTAAAAAATAAAATTAAAACGTTTGATCAAGTTTTTAGAGAAAAATACATTTGAACCTTAATCAAACACAAATTACTGTCCAAAAAAAATGTTCTGACCATAGTTTTTAGAGAATTTGTTCTATTGATCATACCTAGCTAGTACAAAAAATAATAATTAGATTCTACAAATTGAGGAGACTATATATTAATGTTAATTAGCTTATAATAATGATGTAATTAATCACTTCATTCACCAAATTAAAAGAAAACAAGGCACAGAGATGTTAGTTTCCATGCTTGATTACTTGTCCGCGAAATCCCATATGCACCAATTGTTTTGGTTGCAGTTATTACAGTGCAAACGAAACTTTTTTTTGTGAAGGAAAATCTGATCCTAGAAAGCAAAATACTTGTCCGAAGAATTGTTTATTCAAAAAGTCCAATGATGCCATATGGACCGTTAGTCCTTATGATTGATGAGCCCAAACCTACTTTTTAATACTGGGTGGAGTAAATGGTCGGAATTGGTTTAAGATTGAGGAGTTTGGGGATAATTATAAGATTAGGTATTGTCCATCGGTGTGTAAGGATAATTGAAATGTTTGGGTCCAAGTGATTTTCCTGTTGAAGTGAAGTTTGCATGAAAATAAGTCTTAGAATATTGCGATAGTAGAACAATATAATGTACTAAGTAATAGTAAAAATTAAATAAGTGATACTTTTTTCTTTTTAATGTAATAACTAATAAGCCGATATGCCAATGACTTGTGAGTCACTTGTAATGTGGCCTAAATTTGTGTGGAGTTTTCTAAGCAATATGTAAAATAGTCATATTTGAAATTTATGATGTACACTTTTACTACTCTTATTTTATTAAAAAAATCGATAAACACTTATCTCATAGATAATAAAACGTACATAAAAATACAAAAATAGTATTATCATTAATGACGTATATATTAGACTAGTAGTTATTCAAAATGAACTTTTTGTTCCAGTTGTAAAGATCTTAATTTTGAAATGATGGAACTTAGATAGTGCTATAAAATAATAAAGCAAGAAAAAATATTGTAAAAAAAAAAGGTAGAAGGAATAGAGAAAATGAAATATAATGAATGAGGACATCATTGATTATAGAGAGAAAAACTAATTTAATATCTAGTTGATTAGTCCCAGTCTTTTTCAAAAGAAATACGATAAATATTCACTACGATACATATAGGAAAATTACTTGGTTAAGAAATCTTATATTATTTAATTACTCATTATAGCTATAGTTATCACTCGCGACTAACATTAGACATTAATTACGTGGGATAACTTTGAATTTGTATAATAAACCGTGTTTGTATATGTATAATCGCTAGAATATATAAATACAAATGTATAATATACAATTATATAATATACATATACAATTCACCTCTCTAGCCTCTCTCCTCTCTCTCCCATTCTCATATGCCATATATACAAATACATGTATAATATACAATAATCTAACCAATATAGATATACAATTCACCTCTTTGTCACTCTTTTCCCTCTCTCGCTCTCCTCTCTCCCCTCTCTCTAGTCTCGATTCCAGTCTCGCTAGCCTCTCTCCTCCCTGTAATAACACTTAATTACAAATTATAATTATCAAACTATATCTATGGTGAGTAATTAAGCTATTTTTGAGTGATATATGTGAAAATTATAGATAAAATTGTTTTACTATTATAACTTGATAATGATGAGTTGTTGGGGCGCAGCTATCACTCTACTTACACATATATCCTATTGTTTATCACAAACTTTATAGTTATATTATAAAAAAAAAATACAATTCATGAACTCGAAATATCAATTTCCGGCTCTAAATTGAGTTGTTCACATGGATTTAACCCAGTCCGAGTGCAAGACCCATAGATTAATATTAAAGAGAAATTACGTAACAAAACATATTTATACTATTTAATTACTCATCATAGCTATAGTTTGGTATAATTATCTCTCGCGACTAACATTATACGTTAATTACGTGGACTGATTTCGAGTTTGTATAACTAGTCACGTCTGCATATGTATAATTCCCCATAATTTACAAATACATATGTATAATATACAATTTTTTAACCTATATACATATACAATTCACCTCTCTCCCACTCTCTTCCCTTTCTCAGTCACCTCTCTCCTCCCTCTCTCAATCTCGCTCGTCTCTCTCCTCAATCTCACGCCTCTCTCCTCAATCTCACAATCTCGCTTGCCATTTATACAAATGCATATGTATAATATACAATTATGTACATATAATTCACCTCTATCCTATTCTTTGCCCTCTCTCCCCCACCTCTCTCCTTCCTCTCCCAATCTCTCTCGCCATATATTCAAATACATATGTATAATGGACAATTATCTAACCAATATACACATATGATTCACTTTCTCCCACTCTTTCCCCCTCTCTCTCGCCTCTCTCCTCTCTCTCCCAGTCTCGCTCGCCTCTCTCCTCCATATAACATGTATCTACAAATTGTAATTATCAAACTATAGTTATGGAGAGTAATTAATTATTTTTAAGTGACTATATGTGAAAGTTCCCCAACATATTAAAATATTCCTATCTATTTTCGTGCATATTTAGTTCAAAACATACATTGGCTTTGACTCCTTTGTTTGATTGCAATGTCACAATCTTCATTAAATAAAAATTAGAAATCGGTTAAAAACATCTTTTTTTTTCAATCTTTTTTTTAGTGGAGGACATATATAAAATATACTATATATTTTTAAAATGTTAAATATCAACGTTGAGAGTAAGTAAGTCAAATCCATCAATTTAGTTTGTTGGCAAGTTCTTGAGTTGTATGCATCTATCCATATGCCAAACTTACCTATAAAAGATTGGGTTATTTCTTAAGAAACTTAATCAACCAAAAAAATTCCAATTCCTTTTTCACAATAAAGAAAACAGAAGTATTTTGCATTTTCTTAATTACATTATTAGTGTTTATAAAAGATTTTCTACTTTTTGAAGCAATTTCTGCACCTAATCCTGTGCTTAACACGACAGGAAAAATAATTCGAGTAGGATTCGACTATATGATTGTGCCAGTAAGAAAAGACTTAGGAGGCGATCTTGGGCTAGCCTTTTGTTGGAACCCAAGTTTGTCCACTTGATGTTGGCCCACGTAATAATAACAATCCAGGTCTTTCAATAAATTTATTTTCAGTAAATTTAAAAAAAAAATGTAATTCACGAGTTCATTGATCTAAATATTAAGCTCACAAAAACTTATACCATAGGTCAACATCACTCCAATGTATGGAGGTTGGACCACTATAATCCTCAAAAGGAAGATCATATGATCGCGACACCATTAGCAATTGGTTCAAGATTGTGAAATATGGAGTTGGATACAAGTTTGTATTTTGTCCAAGTGTGTGCACTTATTGTGATGTGATTTGTAAGAACGTTAGATTTTTTGTACAGAATAATAGTCAGGCACTCTTGACATTGAGTAACGAGCCATTAGAAGTCGTGTTCAAGAAGGTGTGAACAATATGTTCCTATCAAATAAGAAAAATAAATTATGAATGATCTTCATGTAATATTTATATTCAAATAAAAAAATTTATGTTTTTATATACTACTACTGAGGATGTATAGTACTCGAATACAACTTTTAATCCATCAAATTTGTTGAAAGTATGTTAAATTATTTGCAAATATCTTCCAAATAAATAGTTTTCAAACTTTATGTATCTCATCTGCTTAAGTAAAATTGTATGACTTGTATATAAACGAAGACGAATTTAAACTCTCAAAAGAAGCTGATACATATAATGTCATGTGAAAGGCACGTGATTTTTTTTTCAATTAACAAAATAAATATTAATGAAGCGTTGGAACATGAAAAATTGAAAAAATATTTTTTTAAAATAATTTTTATTTTTAAAAGTGAAAAATGATATTTGGACATCGGAGTTATTTTTATCCATGAATACAAATTATAATTGCTTTTGAAATTTTTGTGAACAATTTTAAAAATTCTGAAATACTTTATTGACAGATAAATTTTTCGCAATTCAACTTTGAATTAACGTTACAAAAAACTGTGTCCAAACGCCCCATAAAGAGAAATCCATATTCAAATTCTTTTCGGGAGAGATTATTACATGCCTAATTTCTTCTCATTCATAAAACTAGATATGAAGTGGTCTATTAATTATAATCAATATATCAAAAATATGATGAGCTTAATTTAAAACTTTATAATCACTAATAAGGGTTTGTCATGCATGGTAAAAATAAATAAGTTTTACATTCAATAGGTAAACATGTAGCTTATAAGCTATAACTGAAGTGTTTAAGAGTAATAAAGCCATCTTCTAATAATTTATATGTGATGTTTATCAAGAGTTTTCTTTTAGGCTTACAAGCATTTCTTGACTAATTTTATTCATAATATTATGATAATTTCTCAAATATTGTTTCCAACATAAAATTTCTATTTTCTTTTAAGGATTATTTCAAGGAGCAGTGGTTATGAGACGATTTGGTTAGGTTATCGATCTAATCAAACTATTGTTATATAAGGTTATTTAGATACTAAATTTATATATTTATGTTTTTATCCTTTATTCTAATCACTTTTTAAATTAGAGATAAGTGTCAAAAACATACCTAAACTATATTTTTTTTGAGTTTCATACTTAGACCTGTTTGGCTCAGCTTAAAAGCTGGTCAAACTGACTTAAAAGCTGGTTTTTGACTTATTTAGCTGTTTGGCAATACTCAAAATAATTTATTTTAAGTTAAAAAAACTTATTTTAAGTCAAAAGTTAAAAGCTGGGATAGGGGTGCTTTTTTTTCCAGCTTATAAGCTGTTTTAAGTTGACCACATTTTTACCTTTTTGCCCTTAATATTTTTATACAATCTCCGAATTACCCACATAATCCTAACATTTCTTTCTTTTATTTTTCCCTTTTCACGTGTGGATGATAGACATTACTATTACTAATGAATGAAAATAAAATAAATCTTAAATCAGGTGATCTATTCAAATTATATATTAATAAAATGTAACATAAGTTGCACATATAACTTAAATAAAAAATTATATTCTTCTTATAAATAACTTGTGATAATAAAGAAATATGTGAATGATAGACAATTATTATTACCTATGGATGAAACTAAAATAAAATCTTAAATCGTTCTTTAATCTATTCAAATTATATATCTTTAAAATCTATAATAAGTTTATATTCCTCTTATAAACAATTTGTGATGAGAAAGAAATATGTGAATGATAGCAAAATATAATTATTTATGGCTGTAAAATATAAATTAATTAACTTTTATTATATTAACAACTTTTAAGGGTATTTCAGATATTTTGATTTAAAAAACTGTTTATCAGCACTTATTTGCCAAACACATCAACAATTTTTTTTAACTTCAGCACTTTTATCCAAACGCATAACTGCTTATTTTAAAAATAAGTTTCAGCACTTTCAAAAGTACTTTTTTAAAACTGCTTTTATTAAGCTCATCCAAACGGGCCCTTAAACTATTGAAAGTTCGAGTTTCATACCTAAACTATCATTTTTTAGTTTGAGAAACACACCTCTCTCTTTTATACCACTCTCATCATGGTATGTGTAATACACACTCTTTCTTTTACTTTAAAGAATTTCCACATCACACTTCACATGGACAAAATATTCAATTTTGACAAAAAATAAATATATTATTAATATTAGTTAAAATTAAAAATTAAAAAATTATTATAAAAAAAATATTTTCTTTATAAAATAAAATGTAAAATATTTTTCTTACCCATGCCATTTTTTAAAGTTTTTTATTTTGTTTAAGTTTATTTTATAAATGTATTTCATTTTTACTTCGTCTCCTCCCCCTCATCAAATACTAATTTAGATATTATTTTATTTTCTTAAAAATATAATTCTACCCATCCCCCTTAACCTTCTGCTTTCAATTTTTTTCCCGGTGTTTAAATATACATATCGAAAATATTTTTTACTTGCCACCACAAGACTTTTTATATTTTTTAGTTGTTTTTGTTATATTCGGTACACTAATAGAATTTTTTTTAAAAAAAATATATGCACGTGCATATCTAACTCAAAACAAGAAAAACGTAGAAAAAAATAAAAATTAGGAGCAGAAAATTAAATAGGATGGGGTAGATTTTTTTAAATAAAATAATATCAATTTCTATCGTGGGAGGGGGAGGGGGGAGGATGAAATATGAATTTTTTAAAAATATTTTATAAATGATTTTTTTTTAAATGATGGGTTGTGGGGGGGGGGGTGGTACATGGAGGAGGTGGTGGAGTGAGATAAGAAAAATAATTTAATTTTTTATATGGATAGTAATTTTTTATTTTCAATTAATATTAATTTCTTATTATTTAATTTTTATCTAGGTAAAATATTTTATTTTTGTGGAATGCCATGTGTCAAAGTTTTTTCATATAAAAGAGAGAGTGCACTACACACACCACTGAGGTGTGTTTTTCAAATTTAAAAGTGATAGTTTAAGTATGAAATTCATACTTTCAATAGTTTAGATATGAAACTCAAAAAAAGTAAATAGTTTAGGTGTGTTTTTGACACTTATCGCTTTAAATTATTATCAAACAAATCAAATATGAGATATTTATCATTTGGTTGTTACTGATTTCGATTCAATTTAATATGATTGTCAATCATACACGAAAAAAAATAAAAGAAACTTATTCAAAAAAAATTAATTATTATCAATTTTGATTCAATTTGATATAATTACTAACCATGCCTTTTATTTTATTTTTTTAAAAAAACAATTTATTCGAAAGAGAAAAAAAATACAAAGACTTCATTCAAAAAGAAATAATTATCTTGGTGCCATTTGATCTTGTGATTCTTCTACCGGAACTCCAATCATGTTTAACTTTCGCTAATATTATTAGCTAATTCACTGTTCTGCACAAGCCATCGATATTGTTGCACGAACGAAAGATGCATTATACCTTATATCTTTTTATCGTGTTTAAATGGTTATTTTCTACTCCATTTTAAAAAAAATACACATATTAAGATTATAATAATTAATATAGTAAAGTTACATTTTTACTTTTATTAAATATGATTTCAAAAAGGATGAATTAAGACTTAAAAAATTTCAAGAAATTTAAATAAATATATAATAAGAATTTTTTTTTGTTCTATCTTGATTTGTCAAAATGGATAAATAAATAGAGATAGAAGGAGTATTGTATTGAGTTATTAGTTTAAATATAATATTTATTTAGATTATTATTCAAATTTTATTATATTGTATAGTTTAAATTTAAAGTTAGGTAAAGACGGAAATATCTTTTTTCTTTTTTTGTAACAACTGATTTGGTGTGGTTGCATCATTACCTTACTATTTTCTTCTTATGTTATGTCTTATTATTAAATAATTTTATTTTATATCTTATCCTACCATTTTACAGTCACTTTATCTCGTATCCTACTTTTCTTATACATAGATCATTCAAATAATTATTGTGTAACATTATATAGTAACAAAAATAATACAATCTATTAAATACTATATTTTCTTAAAATATTACAATATAATATAATATACCATGAAATAATACATAAAACCATCCAAACAAAGTGTTAATTAGTGTGCCACATTTTCACATGAAAAATAATATATTATGCTATATATGTGTGGGTCGGGGGAGGGTTTAGTTCACTAATTTCTTCGATCTCTTTAAATAAAATTAAAATCAAACTGAATATTATCAATACATAAACCATCCAACCATTGTGTTATAATATTATGTTATATATTATTATTTTTTTAAAAATATAAACTAAAAATCAAATAAAAATCATTGTAGATTTAATTCGATTTTTAGCTTTGAATTATTTTTATTCAAACCGTGAAAGCGATCTCATTTAAAGAGCCCAAACAGTTCAAAGACGAAATCACCCTCAATATATAATAGAATAATCTTGTTAATACTAGGATAATAGAGTCAATTTTCTGGGTTTAATCAGACTCTTCTCCTTGCCTCTTCTTCCTCAATGTGGTAAAACCCTAGCACCAAAACAAGATTCAGATTTAACGGTTCGGGTCAAGTTTTTCCGGCCGGAACACGGGAAGGTACGGAATGGGTCGACCGGAACCCCATGTTATCTATTCCCACACTTTCAACCACCCCCAACTCGATGAGTATGTAGACGAGGTAACTGAACATCTAATGCAGTTATATAGACAATACCAACTACTTTGTTAGTTTGTTCTTGAAAAGTCTTTGGTTTTTATAAGCAAATTGTTTAAATTTTGGGCAAGGGAAGGGAACTAATGGTCATGATATGTGGAGAATTATTGTTTTTTAATTATTTAAACTGTCTAAATTCTTATAGGGGATGTTTTTTTTTTTGATGTCATTGCTGTATCTGTGTGTTGCCAGGTGTTATTTGCAGAGCCGGTTGTTGTCTCTTCTTGTGAGATTGTTGAACAGAATGCCCCTTCAGCATGTTCTTCGCTGAAGATTGTGGGGTATGGTTCCTATTCATACTTCCTTATTTCGGTAATGTGTAACAGCACAAGTGTTGGTGGTTGTC